ATGGCCATTGAGGACACCATTCACCCAGCGGGAGAGATTGGCATCATGGATGCTGACAACACTCGCTATTACAACGTTTTACAGCCCCTCAAATCAATCAATTCGAGACCTCTAATTCATTTTTTATATTTGTCCTATCATGGACTGGCATTGAGTGTGAACCAATCAGAGATCGCGAAAGTCGCTGAAGCATATTTAGCCAATCATGGACTAAGAAGGAATTTAGCTTCTCGTCTTTTGTGATACTATAAATACTTGTGAAGTATTTACTTATCCCACTGCGAATTTAATGATGGTACAACGCTTGCGAGTTTTTCCCGGTTCACTGTACACGCTTGCGCAGTCGCATGCATTGAGCTACACATTTCGCTTTCTTTAAATCGCTCGGATGTTCATCACCATCGCATTCAATTGAGCGTGAGAAACGTATCCGCGCGCAGTGACGATTCCTTCGCTTGGTAGATATGCATCACAGGCACATTGGTGGGTGTAGACAGCATGGACGATTCGTAAACACAATTCAGGGAAACGGGATTGTATACTAATCCATGCGCCATTCGCACGTGTCTTTCTCGTGCCTTAGAGCTCAGCAGTCCATGCGTATCGTCGCGCGGGTCTCTAGATTGTATTGTCACCCGTCCAAAGATTTATGCCATGCGAATCCATTCCCAGATCAAATCCTCGAGTTTGTGCAATGCATTGCTACCACTACCACAAGCTACACCAAAAACACCCCCCCAATTTGGCGCGAGTGTGAGGCAGGTAGCGCATCTTGCCTTCTTTCTGCTCAACTGGAGTGTTGTGTCAACTTGACTTGACTTCGATATTGTACGGATATCACGACCCTTCTACGGGGTTTTTCATTGGTTGTATAGATAAATCTAGTCGAAAACTTCGGTGATTAGAGCATCCGGATATTACTCTGGCAGAGATGGAAAATGTACCTTCACACCTGAGATCTCTTCGACATGGCATCATTGATGGAAGCAGAGCTCATTCATCAGCGCGATGTTGCCAAGGAAATGGTACACGAACTTCGAAGACAAGTGGAAGCACTACAGAAGCGCGAAGGCGTCATTGAGCAACGAGCTCTCACGGCCGAACTGCGTCGACACCAATTCGAGATGACGCTCAAGCGTTGCAAACACCGAATTGACACATTGGAGGCGAACCTCAGGCACCACGTTGTGTCCATTTTGCTTGGTGGTCTGCTTGGGGCGTTTTTTGGATGGCTCATGGGAATCTGCCTCGTCATGATTGATACCCCGCCCTTTGTTGCGTTCTTCCTGATGGGTCCGTTCGTCTTGTGCGGTGCCATGGTTGGAATCGCGGCCGGCCTCGCTCGTCGACAACAGAAGCTTCTGGCTCAGAGCAAGAGAATGCAGTATCCTGTCTTCAAAAAGTCCATTCTCCCCGCGCCGAAGCGATCTGCGCTCGGAACAGCCATCGTATGCGCCAAGGAAGTGTCCTATGCGCTCTATTCATACATTCGGTCGTAGCTTCTCAGGGCTAATGTATCAATATTATTGGTAGAAATTCAACATTTTGCATTGGCTGAAAGTACGACTGTGAAGGTCCGGGATTGGCCCATTTGTTCAATTCTGAAAATCTCAATCCAACAGGAGCATGATGCGACCGGAAGCGTATGCAGAGGTGCACGTTGAAAGCGAGAGCGAGGACTCCACGCCCCGGGTGCTGTCTCCGACCCGACGAGTGAACAAAAAGGTGGACGAGCATGCACAGCAGGCAAAGGTACCCGCTGCATCCTCGGCTATGGACAACGTGACCCTTCCATCGAATCCTCCACGACGGTGGCGCCAAGGGTACCAAAAGTTGTACGAGACGCTCTACATGACAAACACGCGCGAAGGCCAGCGCTGCAACGTCATTCTCATGGTGCTCACCATCGTGAGTGTTACCGTTGCCGTTCTGGACAGTGTCACGGAAGTGCGCGAAGCGTTCAACAATGGCCTCGTCGTCATCGAGATGCTTTTCACGCTGTTGTTCTCGGTGGAATACGCCTTGCGCCTCCTGTGTTTACAACGTCCCTCCGACTATGCCACTAGCATCTACGGCATAGTTGACATGGTGTCGATCCTCCCGACTTATCTCGGTACGCACACATCGCTAGCTATTGTAGTCACCTAAATCATGTAGCCTTTCTCAGCGATAGTGCGCGCCCCCTCATGCATTTGCTCGTTCTGCGCATCTTTCGGATCCTCCGGTGCGAACTCTATGATCGTACTTTCTCGTCTCAATTGGTATTCGTAGGGTGTTTCGCATTTTGAAGCTCGTGCGCTTCATGGAGGCCGCAGCGACGTTGATGGATAACATCCACCAGAACAAGCGACGTATCGCCGTCTTCCTTTGTGCCGTGTTTGCGATGATCCTCGTCATTGGGTGCGCTATGTACCTCATCGAAGGCGAGCGCCATGGCTTTTCGAACATCCCAAAGAGCATGTACTGGACCGTCGTGACACTGACAACTGTCGGCTACGGCGATATCACGCCCAAGACCGTGCCAGGTCAATTCTTGGCTACGATTGTTATGTTTGTCGGTGCGTGATTTGCGACGGCGCTTTAGACCTGATGCGTAGTGTAGGCTATGGCTTGATCGCGTGCCCGATGGTACTCACGGCGACCCAGACCCAGACGTCCGTGTCGCTCGGAGGCATGGGCTTCCAAGTCATGCACTGCCCTTCGTCGCCGGCGTGCAAACCGTTCATGAACCTCCATCAAGACGACGCCAAATTTTGTCGAAAATGCGGAGCCAAACTCAGTGTGTTTTTGTAATCAATCGCTTTATGTGAAACGCAGCCGGATTCAATGCACATGGGAAAAGTCGAGGCCGGCAAAGTCATGCAGTGCCGATTCAAGCCCCGCCACTTGTACGCTGTCCAACTGGGGACGTGTCGTGAACGGACAAATCTCATCGCGACATCGCATACCGAATACGTTGCTGTCATGGCCGCAATCACGTCGTCTACGTCGTTCGAGTCGTGGACGTGCGATAGCTCTATCGAGTGGTCCAAGGCTGGGGCAATGTGCACATTCACGAAAGTGTCGGCCGGGTGTGGCTTGCACCCAAATTGTCGTAGGAGCCGTGATTTTTTGGCATGACGAGCCGCTTGGTTTGGTTTCTGCGGTGGTACGTTACCAGCTTCAAGAGTACATGGATGGTAGAGTACATGGTGAAGATGCAGGTTAAATGGCTGAGGGATGGTGTGGCGTCCGTCCGCGCTACGCATGGCTTCGACTCTCAAGTGCTTTGCGATGGCCGCGCTGGTCTTTTCAGCCTTGCGGGCTTTCTCCTTTTGGCCTTGCCGCATGTTCTCGACCGCCTTGTCGAATGCGACCACCTGCTCTTGCTGCACGACATAATCAATGGCATGATCATCACATCATTTCGAAATACCTCGGCCGTGACAGCGTAAAATGCTTCGAGTCGATCCATGGCCGATGTTCCGCCTGACGTCTCAAATTCTCCAGTGCCTGGGCTGCCACTGGTTTTGTGGAGGTGCTCCAATTGCTTGGCTCTTTTTTCGACCGCAAGTTCATACAAGTGATGGCCAATGTCCCGGGACGAGTCTCGATGGCATCGCGAGTGGATGACTGGGGTGAAGGTGCACTCGACCGTGGCAGAGTCTTCCAAGTGTTGACGGAGCTCGTGAACCTTGATGGTTTCGCGTTGGTGTCTCTCAGACAGAGGATCTTCCGCCTCGACAGCCTTCCCGTGCAGCGTGTACTGCCCGGATGCTTTCTTGGGGGTCTTTGCCGACGGGTGGACAATTGGGGCGGGGCGCTGGGCCAACGTAGGCTGGCTCCTGGAAATGTACTGCCGTCGATACCGTTTCCAAACGTCGGAACGGTGACACTTTGGCTCGTTCAGCACAATGCTCTTCATCCATGTTCGAAAACCCACGCCATTGCTAAGGTCGGCTTGAATATTGGCCACATCGTTGGCGGTGGATGGAAGCCCTATGACATCATTGAGACCGGACTGGCAACCCAACAAAGTTCCAACCAAACTGCGTTAACACCTCGGCCATCGCGTCCTTGCTAAGAACAGTCTCTTGGACACCGAGCGCCGTCAACACTCTGTCAAAATCTTTTTCAAAACGGTCGTGGCAGCGCTTTTTGGAAGCGGAATTGAGCTGGACGGACCGCCGCATGGTTGCATTGATGGCCTATGCCCCAGGTTGCGGTGACATATCGAGTCAAGAGCCACGCAATCATACAAACTCTCGCTGCTCTTGCATCCATTCCGCTTTCAGCGCCTTCTGTTTTGCCAGGGCATACAGCTCGTCGTAGACGTGGCCGCCTTGTCGCTTCTGCTGCATGTGGTGTTGCCTGTCGGTACACCTTGAGAGCCCACATCTCGGTGGTGAGACATCAATTACTCGTACATATTGACTTGGGGCCGGTACAATCGCTGGCCCGTGCGAGCGTCCACCATAAGGTTGCGTTCGCGCTCTTGCTTGTTGAGCTCCAACTGTTCACCTTTGGCACGCAGCATCCTTTCGATGCACGCACTAGACGTGGCGTTCAACCACCCATTCTTCTCGAGAATCCGGACGCTGCCCTGGGAAATGCCTCCTCTGGCATGCGGAGGGATTTGGTCGTGGGCGATAAGAGTTCGGTGCCGCTCGGCCGCTCGCTCCTGCTCCTTCTCGCGACGTGTGGCCAAGTCCGACTGCATTCGCGCCATGAACGCTTGGGTCTGTTTTGGGGTTCTGTGTGTACAGATAACTTGTTACAGGTAAAGGACGCGATGACTCAAACACACAGGATGACTTTTGGCCTGGGCGATGCGAATGAAGCGGCCGCCGACCGAGATTTCGACATCGAATGATCGTACTTTGCAGCAGCTTTGACCCAAACTTGCTCTTGGACCTCGGCCTAGTCGCAATGTATCAGGAGTGACTCAAAAAGTTGCCGAGGTGAGCTCACTTTGCAGCGGCTCAAGATATCCATGTCTAGCTGGCCATTCAGCCCACGTAGCAGCACTTGGAGTCTAGATCAGACCGATGACGACTTGCTGCAAGGATAGAGCTCACCGTTGCGGCTGCTGTGAGACAATTGACAACAGGGGCTCGTTCGTGCCCGCCCATGTAGTTGCAATGTCCTGGAAGTTGCGCAGCGTCAAGATTGGATTCAATCCATGCAGGCGGATCGCGTGCTCAAATTGAGCAAGGGACACGATGTACGGAAACAAATTGGTGGTCTTGAGCACGTCCAAAAGGGCCGCCGGAGTGAGGCCATTTGTTTGCTAAGCACCACCCAAGCATGAACGTTTGAGACGACTTGGAGAGGGAAATACCTGGTGCAAGTTGTCGTACGTAACATCCACGAGCGATAGACCTTGAGTCTACAATTGTATCTTAGGAAAGAACGAGTGATCGACGACGCGTACTTGCAAGGGAATTTGCAACGAGAGTTGGAGGGTGTGACTGCTGGGCTGGGAGCAAATGAAGTCGACAAAGGCGTCTTTGGGAGTCGGCTGTGGAGTACAACCTCGTCAAGTGATGCCGCGCGAGGGGATGACTGCGGACGATACCTCGTTGAGCAAGATTACGTGGTCATCTAGCACGACACTGGCGCGTTTGTCGTCCATCACCACGTGGTGTTGGAGCTCGATTGTGTCGATGTTGGTCGAAAAAATGGGTTCGTTCGCAGCGGGGCGGAGAGTTTCGTCCAACAAAGGCAGGAAGTCATCACTAAATCCATCCGTGGTTACCGGGGGCCGAAGTTCACGTGATGCCATCCCGTTCGATGGAGTGTCTTGTGCGGCAGTCCGTGTTGAATTTGCGCTGGCAATGGCAAGAGAGATATTGCAGAAACCTGGGGGTGTTTGATCGGGATTTTCAAGTGAACAAGGGACCACTGGCTCGGGGAGTCGTGTCTCCAAGTCCAGACTCCCACCGGAATGATTCCCGTGGCGATTGTCCTTGCCCGTCGACGTATCCGAGATAGCTGATTCACCGATGAGACCGACCTTTTCAGCATTTGGCTCGAGGAGCCCTATGACATCGACCCCGTCATCGTCGCTGAACACAACGCTGTCGTCAACCAAGTCAAAGTCGTAAAAGGTGTCCATGGCAGGGCGTAGCCACGTCGGCTATCGTGGTTGATGCGTAGAAACCTCTCGACTAAAAATAGACTTCCCACATGAATTCACTCTCGAGGATCACTCGACAAATTGCACGCGCCAAGCATGAACCTGGCACTGACACGCCAGAACGACATAATTTGGACAGCTACCGTCCTTTCCTTGGTAAACCCCCCTTTCGATGCATGTCGTGAATTTCTCTCATGATTAGATGGGGTTGTTGCGCAGCAGCGAAGGCCTCCGGGACGAGCTTTTGTGGGATAAGCTGGTGCACTGGGCCGTGTTTGGCCTCATCTTTGTGCTTTGCGGTGGCACGTTCCTCGCGAGCCTTCAAATCCTAAACTTCGAGCCCCATCAACCATGGATTCAGGTTTGATAACACTGCCACTCGACAACCAATTTGAGAGGTAGTGGCTGCTTCGGTACCCCCTGTGGCTCTCTTCGCGCTGCTTTGCTGTCCATTCGTGTGGTAACTTGGCCCAGTCCCTCTGCTGCTGCTCCCCTTCGGCATGGTAGAGCTCAGGCCATCTCCTCGAACTGATGTTGTCACGATAGCCCCATGGAAGCATCCTTGGCTCCGCTTCTTCGCCTCAGTGAGTGCACCAATACGTGCTCCTTGTGGAGTGATCGTATGTACACAATGGCGTCGCAAGCTGCGTCCCTCGTGGCCGTGGTCGGTGCGTAGGATGCAGAATTCAATCGTGATAGGTTTGAAGTAGGAGCTCATGCTGTATGCTTCGGACACCCGCACTCGCGACGCTCCTTACACCATCGTAGCCGCTTAATACAATGTGTCACAACTCCGTCACTCGATTTCCTTCCAAGTCAAGTGGAGGGTTTTGGGGTTTGTAGCTTTTACTTACAGTTAAGTGCAATTTCGGGGCATCGAGGTTGAATAATGACATTTACAAGACTAATGCTTCGAAATGATGTAGTAGCATTAGCCAGAGGCCTCAGAGGTCACTTCGAAGGAGATGCCGGTCCGTTGGACCGCCAATACCATGGGGGTGTTGACGAGGACAAGGTTGCCGTGGTCAAACATGATGCTATATCGAGGTGATGGGCGATTGTACGCGCCGTGGAGCCAGGCGAACTCGTCCCGAGGAATATTTGAAGCACTTGATCCGTCGCGTGGTCGATTGTGGCTTCGTCCAACACAAATATGTCGGCGTTTTGCACGAGCGTGCAAGACATGCCCAATATCTGGCGCTCGCCCATGACAGTTCTCGTTCAAAGCCCGCCTGGACGTCGAATCTGACGTGTTCGAGGACGACCACCAGATGAAGTGCATATCATCTGGTACATTCCGGAACCTCACGCCGTCATGCGCTGAAGCCCCGTCCGAACAATGGCGCCGACTTCGATGGGCTGACTCCACAAGCTGCTTCGGCGTTTAGGTCGTACAATATCTGCATCGGTTGAAGGCTTTTGGATAGCAGCTTAGGCTACGGTCTATCAAGAAAGACGGCTGTGCGAGCCTGGGTTGGACGGTCGATTTCCAATTCATTCGGGTTCCATTCCGTCTTATGTTCCTTCAACAAGGTGACCAACGACTTTACCTCGCCACGGCGTGCCACCAAGCCAAAGTCTAAAATCGATGCAAAAGTCGTTCCAGCATCAAGAATTCAACATGAAACCTTTTTATATTAATAGCCTGGAAGAGTGTATACTCGAGATTATGTGTTTTGACAGAATCGTTCGCGCGTTGTTGCATGCTGTCGACCGAGTCGGCGAGCCGAGGATCATGGATGTGTGGAAGCATGTCGCTGTCATCGCTGTGCTCACACCGCTCATGTTGGGGTAGACATCACAGCGCCGTGATAGCTTTCAAAGCCATGGTGGATTTGTAGAGAGTCGCCCAATCGCCTGATCTTCGATGGACTTGGCATATCCGCCTTCCATGCCCTCAACATGTACGCACCTCTATCCCATTCTCGACTTGACGGTCGCGTCTAGAACGGGTAGACACAGCGTCGTTGGGATCACGGATACCGGGATCTACCTCCGACACGACGAATTCTCCGCACACCAGACACCGGACGCTATCAATCGGTTTGTCTTGACGGAAAAGGTTGTGCATTACGAGACCGCAGGAGACGACCACGACCAGTCCTCCCGTCGTGACAGGGTACATCACGCTCGAGACGTTCTGTTATATCTTCCATGATCCCCTCAGACATGCGGTCATGGCACCCACGTCTCGGGCATCCTCGCTGGACGCACCATTGGCGTTGCCCCGGATGCAAAGATTGCTTTCCTCGACATTGCTTACGATTGCCTGAATTGCTCCAACCCAGTAGCTCTGCGCGTGCCCACTTCGACGACGGGTACTCATTTTATCCATTCTGTTGACCTGGTGTGTGATGGTTCGTCTCCATTAGCACTGTTCCTCAATCAAACGAAAGCTGGGGCCAAGGTCATTTCATTCTCGTGGGGTCGCGATGCCCGCGGCAATGACATCGTGGACCGCGCCCAGGAAGACTACAACTTCCTTGCGAAACAGATTGACGCGTATCTGTATGAACATCCCGACGTCCTCGTCGTGACTGCGGCAGGAAACAACGGTGACGACGGGGCCAAGTCTCTGTTCAGCCCTGCTGGCGCTAAAAACGTTCTCACGATTGGGGCCACGTACTCTGTCCCGACTGCCTCAGGTGCGCTGCTTCTTCCAACCGTCAACAACTTCATCATGTTGGCGGGTGTAGATGCATGCCCTGAGGTGGCCAACCTGGACAGCGTGGCGAGCTTCAGCAGCAGAGGGCCAACCCACGACGGACGTCTCAAGCCCGACCTTGTTCTGCCAGGTGTGCTCCTTCAGTCAGCGCAATCCATGCCACTGAATGGAACCAACGAATCCACGTCATTGCTGTGCGTTGCCACGGGCACGTCCCAGGTAATACCGGCAGCTCTAGAGACGTGCGACCGGTATAACTGGCGATCACAGGCCACACCAGTTGCGTCCGGGATGGCCGTGCTCGTCCGCGACTGGCTCGAAGTGGGAGCATGGGCGACAGGGCTTCCTTCTCCAACCTCTGCCGTCGCTTTCGTCCCGTCATCACTTGTCAAAGCCATGCTTATTCACGCCGCTGTCCCGACCAAAAGGAGGCTTCCTTTTGAATTTGACAACGTACGGAGTACGAAGTTTCGACCTTTTCCCATTCGTCGTGATGTCGAGTAGACGACGGTGTGCTCGACTCTTGTGGATGACCAGCGATGGGGATTCAAGACCGTGCCAGACCCCATCCAGGGCTATGGCCGCCCCAACATGACAAACCTTCTGAACTCGACCGCGTTTTTCCTGCCCAACCACACCGGAGTCATGCCGTCGTTGACGACTGGATTTGAGCATACCTATGATGTGATGGTGGTCAAGCCCCAGCGCTTGCGGATCACGGTACTTACGAAATTGTTGGGCTGACTTCATCGTGAACTTCCAGGTCGTGTGGACGGATGCACCCGTGCAAGTTGGCGCGACTCGGCCCCTTACAAACGACTTGGACCTGACTCTCACGTTAGCGAGCGGTGATGTTATTGCGTATCCATTGAGCGGCCAGGGCAAGCCCGACTCTGTCAACAATGTTGAAGTGATCGACGTCTCATTCGACGAGCTGGAGAAACTCGTTCCGCGCAGCTCAACGTCGTCCCAGCAAGGCAAACTCCACGTCGTGGCCAAGGTATCCACGATCCCATTGTAATACAATGGACTCGAGATGGAATAGGTGATCGGAACGTCGGTGGTCCAAGGCCCCCAGCTCTACTCGATCGTGTCGACCGTGCGATTGCAATCGAGACAACGATCGTCCACTGACTCAACGGCGAATGACACATCTTTGACGTCCAACCAGAGCTCTGCCCCGACCAACACGTGGATCGTGTGGGCTGCGGCAGGTGCGGCTATCTTTGTCATAGCTGCAGCGTTTGTGGCCCTCCTGGTTCTTCGACGGAAGCGACTCCCCGACGGACAACTGCAGTCGATGCATGCCAGCTTACGAAGCCTCTTCCGGTGCCGCGAGGCCTGCACCGAGTGCGGTTTCTTCTGTACAGATTCGGCTGCGCTGATGGAGCACGTTTACGAAGCTCATCCGCAGCCGCAGACGTGTCGGCACTGCCACTTTACGACCGCAACTCCCGAACTTCTCCAATCCCATGTCGATGCATTTCACTGACGGTCAAATATGGATAACCTGTGGATTTATCCGGAATTATCGATTTGAGTTTTGAAATCTCGCGGCAAGGCAGTAGGATGCTGAGGAGGCCAACGGCACCGATGCATTCGACGATGGGCGGTCTGCACGAGAAGGTGCGTAGTGAAGGTGCTATGCAACATGCCTTGAAGCATGTGTAGATTCGATCGTGCCACAATACCCTGCGCAACCGCCACTCCACACCTGCCGCGTGTTCTGGTTCGCTTGATCAAGTTGGGGAGTGCTTGGCTTTCCACAACGATCGAAGAAGCCTGAACGTGGAACACTTCTTGAGCACGTTCGACTACGTAGTTGTACGTACTATCTTCTTCAAGTCGTCGTTGATCACTGTGTGACTTCTTCGTAGGACAGTATAGTAGTGCGATTGGAAGAGAGGCGCACCCACACACAAGTTCTTCTGTCCATCATCAAGCTTTGTTACGTATGCAGCCTTTTCTGCGGCGAACTGTTCCGTCCGATCGCGGATCGCATCGTTGTGCACGTGATCCTCGTCTGCTCCCACGTCGATGCCCGTGTGGCAACCAAGGCCAAGGAATGCCTGACCACATTCACCGAAACCGTGAGTTACGACCTGCGACTAATCGTGCAAGCTGCGGACAATCTGTCGTCGGACGAAGGTATGAAAACGTATGCGCGACAAGTTCATGAGGTTTGCGGTACAGATTTGATCCAGTACTGCACGACCTTTGTCGGGCAAATTCCGATTATTCTCGAAACGTGGGACACGCAAGAGTATAAGGACATCGATTTGTTTCCTCTCATCGCCAATTGCCTCGTAAACGACCACCCGCACATTCGAAAGGTTGGATACGCGCCTCTCGCAATGCTTTATGAGTATCAGTACGTTCGCACCGAGTGGTTGGCTGAGCTAACTGACACACGAGGCGTACCCAACACGACGAATCGAGTCTGGTTCACGCGTACTTGGAGCAGTTTTCGAAACAAACCGTGGACGAAATATTTCGCGAAGTTCCGTCCTCGTCTCTGGCCCAAGCCATTCGGCCACTCGTCCGCCGACCATCCCATTACTTTCCCGCGATGAAGAAACAGATGCAGTCGCCAGTCCTGTCACGAAGACTCCAGTTCTCATCCGTGTCGCCCTCTCCATCGTACCAAGACCTCCGGCATCGACGCCAAAACCTCTATGACGACGACGTGCCGCGATCGGCTTTCAAGAAGAGGCCTTCGCACACATCGCACAGAAGATCTCCGTACGTGGCCACCGCGTACAGAAGATCGCATGGGAGGACCACCAGCTTGGTCCAGCGAATCCTCGCATGGGTTTGGTTTTGGATCGTCGTGCTCCTCGCCGCGTTTGGATTCATGTCTTTATTGTGGTTTATATGGACAACGTACGCATAAAGGCGAATTGCGGTTGGTATCTTGGCGACGCCACTCCACATCGAAATGACACATATGTAAATTTTATCCTTTTAATTGTGTTCTGGGCTTTGTCTGCATCGTGATCTACAACCTCACGGCAGCAGGTCTCCGCAGGCGGCGCTTGGACGACTCGTATTTGACCCGTCGTTGGATCCTTCGCCAACGCCGATCCCACATGACAGTCGGATGTCCAACAATTTCCCACTGCACGCTTGAGCATGAAGAGGTTAACCCTCTTCGTGGTTGTTGTCACTTGTGCGTTGAATCTAAGTTCAAGACAGGGGGAGCGTCCTGTAGTAACCTCGACAACTCCAATACCAAATGCAACGACAGAGCTTGCTACACGTCTTTGCACTCTCTCGTCGACGATGCCATCATCACGTACTACGTGTCGTTGGGATTAGCTGCGGCGTCGGACCTCACCAACCACATCGAATTGGACAAGCACGGCCATGGTGAAGGACCGGGTATGGATTTGTTGCACGTGTTTTTTATGTTTCACGCGTGCTCAAGAGTGATATCTTTTTTTGCTACAAAAAACGAGTGCACATATGACGTGGACTTGTCGAAGGCTCTCGATGGCAGGAGTATTTTCCATGAATTCCCTTACTAAGGTACTTCCTCTGTACCAAATACAGTAGGTGGAGACTATTTGGAACACTCCAAAAACCTTTTTTCGGGCGAATATAATCGAAATAGCCTCAAAATTGACCCGAATGTAGCCAATTGCATGACGAACATCGTAGTATTTTTAGATATATTCATTGCTTCATGGCGCTTCAAAACCAATCGTCAAAATTCGGTGACACGCATAGCTAATCGAAAAATACTAATTTCGTCATTTCGAGTCCAATCGAGCTCAAATCAAGCACAAACGACTCGTCTTAAAGCATACATATGGTTTGCACCCCTCAGAACCCCGAAAAATTTCTGGAATCAAAGTTACAAAAATTTCACGTCCTACGACCAAGCACGACATACCCAACGACGAACGGGTCCGTTTGTACCATGAACTTTTGGAGCTGAAAGTGGGTGGCCGCATGGCAAGGCCAAGGAATTGCTGCAGAAGTACGGTATATCTCGGCAAACATTGTCGAAGATTTGGCGTCGTGGGCAAGACTCAAAGGCTTTCTCTGGTCTGGCTAACGTTGTCAAGAGGAAGCAAGATCGTTGTAGTAGACGCCCTGCTCGGTTCTTGGACGAGCTTGAGTCTGCCGTCAAGACTGTACCTCCACATCTCCGCTTCACTCTGCGGCCTTTGTCAGCTTCAAGTGGCATCCCGACGACTACGCTGTGGCGTCTATTGAAAATCGAACAAGTTGAAGAGAAAGACAAGCCGCATCAAACCGATGCTTACCGATCAACAAAAGGCTGCCCGTACCGTCTTTTCCCGCTCCTTCCTTCGAGAGTCACGAAACAATGTGCACTGGCATGACATGCTTGACCCGGCCCATATAGACGAGAAGTGGTTCTACGTGACTTTGATCAATCGCCGATATTATCTGTGGCACGATGAGGAAGTACTGGTGCGCAAGTGCTCCTCTAAGCGGAACATTGTGAAAGTCATTTTTTGACGGCGGTGGCCCGTCCGCGCTATGACAATGCAAGAAAGACAACATGGGACGGAAAAATTGGAATGCAGCCATTCGTGACCCAAGCACCAGCTCAGCGTACCAACAAGCATCGTGCACGTGGCACTATCGTGACGATCCCAATGACCGTGACCAAGGATGCTTACCGAGACTTCCTGCTGCAGTATGTCATTCCCAGCATCAAGCGTCTTTGGCCCGGTCGTCCTGACAAGCCCATATTTGTCCAACAGAACAATGCTCGCCCTCCTGTTGGTGTGGACGACCCTGCTGTGTGTGCTGACGGTTGTTGCGATGGGTGGCAGATTCAACTTGTTGCGCAGCCTGCCATGAGCCCCGATTTCAACGTTCTAGATC